ATGCTGAAGTGTCAGTGCCAGCTGACATCTCATTGTGGAATCACATTCATTTCTGTGACAAGCTTTGCTCAGAGGTTGTTTGATGCATTTTCAGACGCACAAAGTCCCCAAATTATAACAGATTTATCCCAGAAAGCTGTCTGCATCTAAATCAGGATATATTCTCCCATAAAAGCATAAATGGTGATAAGTTTCTCATTGACATGCCTCAACTTCATAATATGGCTGCAATATAGGGCCAAAAGCATGACCACTATTTAAATAGAGCATGATTTCAACATGAAAATTTATCATTTTTTCAGGGAAACTTCAGAASTTAAAAAAAAAAGAAGAACCTATAATTAGCCAGTTTCTGCAATGAAATATATTGACAATGATCTTGATTACTGGAAGGGCCAACATTTGTATAGAAGTATCCTTTTGGGACTTTTCTACTAACTATTTGATTTAATCTTTAAAACAACTCTATTAAGAAAATACTGCTATTATCACCATCCTGGTAACGAGACTAAGGCACAGAGAGATTATGTAGTTAATTATGGGCAAAACCAGGTTTGGATTCCAGGGTTCATGGGCTACACCAGGTTGGCAGACTGGTCCATGACAAATCTGGTCTTTTGTAAATAAAGTTTTATTGAAACACTGCATGCTCATCTGTCACTATGTCTGTTGGTGCTTTTGAGCTGCTGCAGGAGAGTTGGCACATTAGAGCAGACACTGCACGGCCTGAAACAATCATTACCTGACACTTTACGGAGAACATTTGTCGAGTCCCAAACGCATCCTTCCTCCAAAGAAAGGCAGATCCAGTTCTGAACTCTGGCTATGAGCCGCATGGTGGGGAGCAGAGACTCAGAGCCAGGGCAAAGTCAGGAACCCTCGTAGTCCTCAAAAGCCCCAGGAGGCCCTGGGGAAGTGCTCACCAGTGTGGAACATAATATATGCTCAATGAATTTCCTGCTCCATCCCCAAGTAGATAAGAAGCAGGGTCCACAGGGACAGAGCCAGCTCCACAGGAAGTGGGTGTTTTGCTCATGCTGGAACCTCAGTGAACAAATGGAAAGACGCATAATTTATGTTTGTGACCAGGGACCGTGTGCACCTCATCTGGACAACCTGGAACAGGTCAAAGGTGAACGGACACACAGTCCAGAAGATCACAGGAGAGGTTCTGGTTTGCATTGCCTTTCAGGCAGAGGGAATGCTCTGGCAGGACCTGCATTGGAGCAAGGGCTTTTCCAGCTATCCTGGGATTTTCCTTGGCTCCTAAGAGCTTCGCTCATGGATCCTTCTGTTTGCCAAGATTCTAGAGTCAACAACTTAAATTTGACAAACTTGCCTTTGAATGATGCGATGAATGCTAGTGCAGTGGGGGGAGTGTAAATGCCCATTGGTTCTGATGTTTCTTTCATTAGACTGAATGACTTTTGATTTCTGGGGATGGACATCAAAAACCACAGCTAGTTAATGCTTTCTAGAAAACAGAGCTTGATGAGGAAAGAAGATAGACTAGCCTCTGTGCAAGGCTGCTGAGAGATGCCTAGGTCAGCAACCATCACAGAACCCACCCTGCCCCGCCCCGCCCCACAGTGGATCTCCTACTGGAGGCAAGAAAGGAGGAAAGAATGGGTGAGGACCAGAAGACTGATGTGAGAAAAGCAGCCAGGGTGGTAACTATCTGCAGAGAGGGGAACACAGAGGGGAGCCTGGGTCTGAGCACCGAGAGGGAGGAAATGGGGTGGAAGTTAAATTGTACCCAGATGCCAATTGGCCCCTGTTTGGAAAGGCTGGCTGCCCCCCAGAACAGCTCAAATGCAGACTATATATAGTCTTTCTGGCCTGGCACAGGGTTTCCCAACACTGGGGTACAGAGAAGGTTTGCAACTTCCACACTTATAGACCTCAACAAAATACCATTGTGGGATTGAACACCTGCCTAAAATCAGATCAGAATATTTCATTTAAAGGCAGCATGATGGTTGTCATGAACTCCCTGGCACCTTGGGACTCCATCACCTAATGGCTTCCTGCATAGTCTCCTGTGTGTGTGTGTGTGTGTGTGTGTGTGTGTGTGTGTGTGTGTGTGTGTGTTTGCTGTTGTTGTTTGGTATTAGGGATTGAACTCAGGGGCACTCAGCCTCAGCCCTATTTTGGATTTTATTTAGAGACAGGGTCTCATTGAATTGCTTGACACCTTGCTGTTGCTGAGGCTGGATTTGAACTCCTGATGCTCCTGCCTCAGCCTCCTGAGCCACTGGGATTATGGGCATGCACCATCATGCCTGGCTGGTTGTGGTTTTTAAATGCTCTAAGTAAACGATTAGAGCAAAAAGTTGGGGTGTAGTTCACGCAGGTGCTCTTTGGGGGACCGAACAGCAGGGCTCTGCCTCTCAACTCTGCTGACCTTGCCTCTGTCCTTGGAGGTCACAGGGCCCGGGGCCAGTGCTGTGCCGCCAAGTTCAGCTCTCCCAGGAGGGACACGCAACCCGCAACGCGCACGGCCTCTAACTGTCCCTCAAGAGAAATACTTTTGCTCTCAGCTTCAAGCCCTCTGGCCTGTGGTTTTTATTTTTATTTTTCGGCTTGGAACGCTGACCTTTATAAAAAGCTGGATTCACTGCCCAGAAAAACAGGAAGGTTGCATCCTAGGAAACCATGGATGTGAAGCAGCAAAAACGGCCCGGTATCTCTCTATCAGTAAAGCGAGGTCTCAGACAGATCAGCTTGAGGACAGGAAGTTCCGAGAGCTCTTGTTAGCTCCCCGGGTTCCTCCTCTGCCTGAGACAGCTGGGTACCATTGGTGCTCAGTGTTCCCAAAAGACACTCTCCCTAGAAGGATCCATCCATCATATGGGGTGTAGTATTGGGAGGGGCATCAAGGCAGCCCTCCTGCCTGGGACTCAGGCCTGCGACCCCAGCAGGATATGGAGTGCAAGCAAGCAGAGGAGAGAGGGAGAGAGAGCAAGAGAGAGAGAGAAACGGGAGGTGAGGGTGTGCCTGGCGACACCCCGACTGGTGTCTGGGTACTTGAATTCCTGCAAATGTCATAAGGCTTCTTTGGATCATTTGATRTATTTTTCCTGTCATTTAGTTTTTTCCTCCTATATTTTTTTTAAGAGTAGAGACTGAAGCCTGGTCTCACTGGTTGACCCCTGCCTGTGTCTAAAGCTACAGATGTCTGTTTGACCTACAYAGACTTCTAAGTTTTAATTAGCTGCCAACATTAAGAGAAATCAGAATATGCCATATAAAAGCCTGGAGTTCTGGATTCTCTTGAGCCACAGAGCGGGCAGCACGGGGCCTGGGCCTGTACATGGAATAATCCTTTGGCACTGAGCAGCGTGGCTGCCACCTTGACACAGGGCTCAAGTTCACCAGCTTGCTCCAGTCCCCATTGCTCCCTACTGTCTCACTCACCCCCAAACCTGCTGTGAGCTGCCATGGATCGACATCACCTGTGACTCATTAGGCATCTACCCTTATAGCCCCTGCCCTTCAGTGTTTCCCAGATCCACTTTAACCATTGATGTAATGAAATAATCTGAAGTTTCATGTTTCACTTCCTTAGGAATTGGAAGTATCTGTATTAGAATGTACTGAACTATCTGTATTTTTGGGAAGAACAGAATAAGGAGAACAAGACCAGTAGGAACTCATTAGTGTCAACACTCCAGTAACAAATCAGCATCTGTACACACTTGCATGCTTTTCTTTAGGGARCAGAAATTCCAGGGAATCCTAATTAGTCTGAAGAATGGAAAGATTCAAAAAGGAAYTCAGCACAGACTGCAGAGGCTTCTATAAGAAGCCCTCAAACAGCAACATGCAAAGTGATTAGAGAAATAGAAAGAAATAAAAAATGGTGACCTGGGATAAAAGGCAGATGCTTAGGGAGATGGGTGTCCACTAGAGGTTGGCCATCTGGTGAGTAAGGAGATGGAGGAAGGGAGAGGTGGAGGGGAGCAAAGGGAGGGGAAAGAAGAGAAAGGAATGGGTGACAGAGACAAACAAAACAGGAAGAAGGGCAGGAGGCTGGCTTTTCTAAAGATCGGGAGCAAAAGCATAAAGGAATCTCAAACACAAAGGAATATTTGTTTAAGCTGGTCTTTTAGAACAACACTAGAGACTTTTTGCATTCTGTAGGAAAAAATAAAACAGCAAAACAACAAAACACTAACATGCTGGCGTGGTACCCTGATTACAAGCAAATTCCTCCCAGGGAGAGGACTGAGCACGAGCCCACCTTTKTAAGAAGGACTCCACACTCAGAACCCTGCTGTCTCCCCAGTGATTGGCAAATCACTTTCTTATGCAAAATTCAACATTATTATTGGATATGAGGTGCCCCCCCCAAGGCTCCTGTGCTAATGCAGGATTATTCAGAGGTGCAACGAATTAGACTATACAAACTGCTACCTATCAGTCCACCTTCATGTGAAGAGACTGACTGGGTACTAACTGTAGGCAGGTGGGGTGTGGCTGGCGGAGGTGGGTCACTGGGGGTGTGTCCCGGAAGTGTGCATCTCCCCAGCTGCCACTTCCTCACCTTCTCCCTCCCTCCCTGTCTCTGTCTCTCTCTCCTTCTTCCTGGCCACTGCTTTCCTCCACCCTGCCATTCAGCCATGGTGTCCAGCCTCACCGTGGGTCCAAAGCAATGGACTCAGCAGCCTATGGACTGAGCCTCTGAAACTGTAAGCCAAATAAACCTTCCCTCCTCTCAGCTGTTCTTGTCAGGTATTTTGGTGACAGCAACACGAATCTGACCAGGCCCTCCTCTCTGCACTATTTCCCACCTCCATTCTCTAAAGGACAAAGGACACAGAAGGCCAACAACTTGCAAAGAAAGAAATTACATGCAGCATTTATGTTTTTCAATTAAGAAAATGAGTGTAATGTTGAAATTACTTTTGCCCTTCAACGACACRACTCCGGGGCTCTCTGAAGTTATGCTTCACCAGCTAAAGGAAAGGGGTTGCCCCAGGTTTCGCTGGGATCCTCACCTCGAATTTCTGCCTGAGCTCCACGTTTCCTTCTTCGTCCCCTTCTGGAATGGGCACGTTGTAGTACTCACCTTCTTCTTGGTTAAGCAACTTGTACCTTTCAAAGACACAGAGAGAAGCGGAGGTAAGCGCGAGCAGAGCAGCTCCTGGCCTTCCATCTCTAGTCGAGTGGTGGGTGAAATGCCCCGTGGGAGACAGCGCCCAGGCGGGCAGGCAGCTTCCCGGCAGCTCAGAGATGGAAACTGGCCTGTCTCCCGCATCTCTAAGAGTTGAGAGCCACAGCGGAAGGGGCCCCAGCAAACTTCCAGCTGATTGGCTCACAGTGGCCCCAGCAAACTTCCAGCTGCCAGCTGATTGGCTCCTCTTTGGTGATGCTCATTGGGCAGTTTTCCCGCCCTTTCAGACCACGGAGTTGCTCATGGGGGGACTCTTCTGGCTCCGCCCACATGATCCAGCCAATCGGCCTCAAGAGTGGGAGGAGAGGGGGTTGAGAGGCTAGCCAGAAGCTGGTAGTGGCAGTTGGGCTCTGAGGAAATTCCTGAAGAGCTCCTGTAGTGGGGCTTGTGTGTTCTAAAAATAAAGTTGTTTTTGCTTGACAAGTGGCTCATGAATTGTGCCCAGCCAGACTGCGGCATCTAAGTGGTCTGATGCTAGGGGACTGCTCAGTCTCGGGGTGTCCTTACCATCCGCTGGCTGGCATCTTCATGAGCTCCGAGACTCCAAAGGAAAGGGATCCCATGAAGTCATTCCTTGTTGTTCGATCCCAGTCCCAGATTTCTACGGACAGTCGTCGATCTTTGTCTGAAGGTTTTAGTTTGCTACAAAGACACACACAATCACACACACACACACACACACACACACACACACACACGGGGTTATCTTGATTATGCTTTCTTGGGAGATACCATATGCTCATGATCTGAGCCTGAAATAGTACATTCATGTCTCTTCCTGTGCCCACAGAATACCAGCCCTACACTGGGAGCTCAGGTTAGGGATTAGCCAGCCACGGCCCARGGGCCCAAGCTGGCCACTGCTTGTTCTATTAGAACTCAGTATTTACATACTGTCTCTGGCTGCTCTGGCCCTGGAATGACAGAACTGTGCAGGGGCAACAGAGACTTGACCTGCACAGTCTAGGAGACACACTCCCGCCTTACAGAGCAGAGCTCGCTGGCTTTGCTACATGGAGAGCCCCCTCTCTGGCTGTCYACAGATACACCTGCTAGTGCACCACTGTAGCCACTTCTCATTCCTGACTTCTTCACTCCCTCCTCCCGTTCCCTCCTTCCTTCTTCCCCTTCTACGGTTCCTACTTCTGAAATCCTTCAAGGCCCACTTCAAGGTCATCTCCTCTGCGAAGCCTTCCCTGTTTAAAGGTGAGGCTACCTTCCCATTGCAGTGGGGATGACACTTCCTGTGCTACTCACTTGTTCTATGTTGTAACAATTATTCAATTCTTGCCTCACACCCTCTTCTAACCCTGAAAATAACCCAAATCCAGGGCATCRGGGATATAGCTCAGTGATAAAGTGCTTGGCCACCAAGTAAGTGCAAGGCCCTGGGTTCAATCTCCAGTACCACAAAAAAAGAAAAAGAAAAAGAAAAAGAAAAAGAAAAAAAATCTAAGTCTATCAAAAGGTGGGACACACCTTATATGCTTAATAATACCTTAAACAGATTTTTTTTCCTGGTGCAGAATAAATAATGGTAATTATTTGGGGCTGGCATCATGTAGTTCCTGGTAAACTGAGTTACTTTGCCCCAAACAGGTGATGACAGCTGTCCATACCAACAGCAGTCTGAGAGGTATTAGGATGAGGACGTGTGTAGAGACATTTGTCACTGTCCCTCCCCCCCCCCAATTATCTCTAATAATGAGATTGAGAGCTACATGGTGCACAGAATGGGGTTAGATCTGGAAGAGGAGACACACTCACAACGTGAAGGATTCATTCCACTGGGGGTTCAGCGTGGAGCGGATGGTTTTGGTTTTCTGTTTGCTTTCATTCTTAGGGTCAGGAATAAGTTTCAGCTTCACRTAAGGATCAGAGAGCCCATTGGGATCCATAGGGATTAGATTTTTTGCATCTCGTACTGTGAAGAGAGAAGAAAGAAAAAGTCACAAAAAGAGGGCTGATCTGCATTCGTTAGCGTCCTGTGTCAACACCAAGATGAGTCCAAGGGACATCGTGATGGTGCTTAAGGGGAGGAAGGTAAAAATCAGAAGCCTTTGACCCTCAACACGAGAAGGCTGCCCCCACCTTCTTGGCTTTGATACTGGTCATCRGGTGGGCCGAGCGGTCTAGGTCTGGCCTCGAGGCAGCACCAGCCTGCACTGTGGACCTCATGCACCTATGAGAAATGCAAAGCCTGGGTCCCACCCCAAATCTCAGAAGTAGAACCTGCATTTTAACAAGATGCCCAGGTGACCTTCATAGCTCTCAAGGAGAAAAGGGGCAGCCTCCCCGCATGCAGGCAACCTGCCCAACCTGGTCCATGGCATTGCACATGCACTTGAACTCTTAGGAGGTGTTGTCCCTTTCTTCCTGAAGGCTGGTGTATTCCGACCCCTGGCTCTACCTTGGAATCACTTGGGAGAGGGGTTACATCAATGCTCAAAATTAAATTAGAATATCTAAGGAATATGGCCCAAGTACTGGTTTTTCAAAGCTCCCCTGGTGACTTTATTGTGTGGCATGGATGGAGCCAATGGTGTAGACAGCTGTAATTCAGAACTGCCTTCCAATGTACAGGTCCAGGGACCAGCACGTTACCTGGGAGCTCATTTGACATGCAGAATCTCAGGCCTTACTTCAAATTTACTACCTCAGAGCCCTCACTTTAACAGGACCGCCCCCCCCCCCCATGAACCCAAAGCACATTCCAGTTTAAAAAGCACTAACACGGGAGTCAAAAAGTAGTTAAAGCTGGGCGTGGTGGCACATGCCTATAATCCCAGTGACTCAAGAGGCTGAGGCAAGAGAAGCCCAAGTTCAAGGCCAGCCCCAGTATCTTAACAAAACCCTGTCTCAAAACAAAAATTAAATAAAATTTAAAAGGGCTGTAGATGTAGCTCAGTGGTAAAGCACCCTTGGGTTCAACTCCCAGTGCCCCCCGCCAAAAAAAGCAATTAAAAGGAAAGACCATTGCACCCACAGAGGAGTCCTGCTCAGAGATGTGGCTGCCAGGGGTTACGGTCAGTGGGAGCAGCTGTCTAAAGTCACCGCACATCAAATGTGAAAGTTCGTTATCTACCACAACAATGAGAAGGGACAAAGGTCTGTGGTGCCTACACCAAAGTCTTCCTTACTATCTCCCCAGTCAGGGTGGAATTTCTCATTGTCAGGGTCCCTTGCTGGTCAGGCACCATCGACACCCATCCACCCAGGACCAGGCTCCTAAATCATAACTCTGCAGGTGGGGACCAGAGAGCTGCTCACAAGCCCCCAGGTGATTCTGATGTATGTACAAGTTGGAGAATCGTGGACCTTGCCACCTGGCATAGGTTATGGCGGTTGAGAATTACAGGAGAAATTTAGAAGAAGGTGCTGCAGCTGGCAGAGGACAGGGACTAGAGGAGGAACGGAAGAATACTAAAGATATTTGATCTTTGGTACACAAACAAGGTGGGTATGACCCTAAGAGCAGAAGCTGAGGATGAGCAAAGCCCCTGGTAGCTGGTGGCCCCACTGTGCACTGACCCCTGCTGGTCCAAAGTTGTATGTGCTCTTTACCTGGTGCCTCAGCACTGGGACCCCTGCAGCTCAGCCAAGCTACTTTAAGTCCTGCCTCCTCCTCTGCATAATCCTGGGCACTAGACCTGAGGCCTCTAGTTTTGTTTTGTTTTTTTTTTTCCTAATTACAAAAATGAGCACGGCCAAAATTCTGGTGGCATCAACTTGCTGGGAGAACTCAAGGAAATGTATATAAAGTACCTTAAATAGTTGGTGGCTTGGAAAATGAGAAGCAGGATTTCATGATGTGAGCGCTCACTAGACCTGGGCAAGGGTCCCCACTGCTCATCATTTGGAAACCTACATTAAGGTCAGAAGTTCCCCAGGGTACCCGAGCATTTGCCTGAGAATTCAAGGTTTAATGTCACGCAGAAGGTCTCATCTCCTAAAACATCGACCCCGAGAATTACAAAAGATGAACAATTTGAGTGTAAAAAGGAGCTCTCCCTCAATGATGGGAAAGGGGCCAAAGGACTCTGATCAAACACCAGAATGAGAATCTGATACTTTTTTAAAGGCAGAAAATGCCTGGAGTGTCTAACACTGAGGGCTGCAGAAGGTCACATCCCAGATAAGCTAATGAAGAGGCGTACTGAGGCCACCAAGAGGTCCATAGTTGCCTCCTGCCATTTTCAGAGTTACTACAGGTGCTGGCTTTTACATCTTCAATTTATCGCCCTGATAGCAGCACACACGAAATCACTCCAGGCTGATCTCCTCTGCATGGCGATGAGCTAAAATCTTGATGGGATCTAAAGCCGTGGGTTCCCTGCCGAGATACTATCATTTAAGTTGAAAATAGAAAGAGTTATCAATTCCAAATGCCACTGAGGCAAACAGTGGATCCAAATTTCAATTTTCTTATTGCTGCAGATAACAGTCTCCTGAGGTGTGACTCACGGCGGGTCCAGGACAACTGAATCAGGATCATAAGCCACCAGCTTGGGGTTCCATCTGCTCACAATGTGGGCTCTGCCTCTGCCACTTTCTGGTTGTGGGAAAGATATTCCAATTCTCTGTGCTTGTTTCCTCATCTGACAAACTGTACCTGCTGGCAAGGCCAGCATTATGCAGGATCATACACGCTAAGTGCTTAGAAAGCAGCCAGCACGCTAAAGACCCACACAGTCATCATGGCTGTTAACACAAGTTATGGGTAGACAACAAAACCCAAAGAAACTGGACAGATGGCTTAGGATGGGCAAAGGAATACCCATGGGAGAGCATGATGTGGAGATTTTCTAACATGGTTGCAAATGAGTGATTTCAACAGTCTTCAAACCAGAGGGCACGCCGCAGGACATTGCTAACGGGAATGGCTCGCCACTCTGGAACAGGGGGAGAGAGGAAACACCAGAGCTGAATGCAAGTGGGGGAGAGGATGAGAAGAAACGCTGAAGGCAGGAGAGAGAACGAAGGGACAGACGCCATCAGGAGACACGAGGGGGATGCTGTYCTAGCACTGGCGGGCAGCAACCTGAGCCTCAGTGACACACTGCAAACATCTGGGGTGTTTGGGTCCCATACTGATGCCTGGCCCCATCCCCAGGAGTCAGATTCACAGGATCTTTCAAGATGCCCCTCCAGGCGGGTCTAYGTGATGTCTGGGTGAGTGCCACTCAGTGCACCCAGCAGTTGTCCTCAGGTCGTGGATGTGGGATTAGCACTGTTGGCATCACTGGCAGACCTGACTATTACTCACGTTTTCCTTTCCATTAACTCACTTTTAAACATCTAACACTTAAAGAGGAAATGTGTCACAAGTAAATGGAATTTTTGGCCATAAATAGGAAGTACCCATAAAAGTAAAAACAATGAAAAATCTGCTGTGTGCGTTTCTAGTTGGACACAGCTGCCTGAGGGCTGCTCTCTCCCGGCTGCCAAGGGGAAACTGACAAGTGTTAGAGTGGTAAGGATCTTCTCGCCCCAGAGTCTTTGTCTGTCTTACAACCAAGACAGAAAAGAAGACTGGAAAGGGACTTTCTCATCACGTAGCCTGATGCTCTTTGTATAGTTCAGTACCTTCAGAAACCAGCTCAAGTGCTAACAGGAGTCACATCCCCCAGCGGTCCYATCCCAAACGCGGAAAGCACAATCACAGGAATGCCAATTCCCAGGTTCTTAAGGATGTGGAATATTCCACAGCCCAAGAGCAGCAGTGTGCCCAAGAAGAATGTCGTTGGTAAAGATTCCATGGCTTATTTCTGTCTCTCCCTTTTATTTAATTTTTGGGTGGTGGTGCTAGGGATTGAACCCAAGGCCTTGTGCATGCAAGACAAGCACTCTACCAACTGAGCTATGTCCCTAGCCACCCTTCTGTCACCTTCCACAAGAACCAAATTGTTTGGACCCACAGAATTAAGAGGGGGRAAMAAAAAAGCCATGCTGCTCTAGAGAATGACATTTCTTTTAAGATCTCTCATGCCAAAGTGCCAAAGGAAGATCATCTCTGAACACAGCAGCAGGGCCACAGTGCACCTCCCTTGCCCAGAAACTCGAGGGGCAGCCCCACCTGCACTCCCTGAGCTCTGCTGAGCAGGCCCGCAGCCTCACAGAGCAACAAGAGCACCCGCCTTCCCCTGCTGTCTCCCTGGCACTTCTGCAGCCTTTACAAGAAGGGGCATCTGCAGGAGTAATCCGTCTGCACTGTGGCACAGGCCACTGCAGAGTGGAAAGTCTGTTCTGTAACTCCAGGACGTCAGGAGAAATACAGAGTCCTCATTCTATYCCCATCTTTGACTGGAGAGGCCTGTTCTGAAACTACCGGCGGTTGAGCCCGACATTGAGAACCAAACAGCCTGGGTTAAAAGGTTCTGTAATTTCTGGATAATGTAAGGTGTCATTTCTGGATAAAATCCATTCAAATAACATGAGGAGAAATACCTACACAAAGTCACCTGACTCAGGTGGCTGGGTGAGCCCAGGATACGTGTGCTTTGAATGCATGCTCAGGGGTGAGGTGGGAGTACAGGCCTGTGGGTCATCTCAGAGGGATGGGCTGCCTTGGCCAGGGGGCAAAGCTGAGCCAGGTGCATGTGGGAATAAAGAACAGGGTATCTGCCACCAGGCCAGCAATGCTGCCATGGGCCTTCTGGACAGGGMGGCCTGCGGTGGCAGACCACAGGGACTGCGCGGACTGCCAGGCTTTCTTTGGGATGAGCAAGTTGTCCCAGAAACGTGAGTCATGTAAGGGCTTCATACACACTTATGGATGCTCAGGGCCCTGTTGGGCTCATATTGCTTGAATGGGTGCTGCAGGTGACAGCTGACTTCTCGGGGGCAGCATAATGTGGGTGGTAGGGGTCCAACCCTGCTCTATCACTTATCAGCTGTATGCTTTGAACAAGTCACCCAATGTCT